TTACAACAATTACTCGACAATCATTTCCTTATGAAGAGATTCGTGCCACAGTCTGATGAGTGCAGGTGTCACGTTGAAGAACACAGTTCTACACAGGTTCTCAAGTCTGACCTAAAATATCATCCAGTTGCTCTTATGACTACTGAGACACTCTGCCTTGTTCTAACAAGTCCTCCTGAGCACACGGGCCATCGATATATCCCTACCTAACGCCATTCCTCCTCATTCTGTGCAAAAATATGCATTTGAAGGTAATATGAAGCTTCATTTGTCTGAATAGCAGAAATCTTTTTACCTTTTTCATCCAACATGTTTCCCCAGACAGCAGGAAGACAAACATAAAGGGGAACATTTGGCTCAAAAATAAATTTGCAGGATATTTAAACGGAAATAAATGTCATCATATCCAGTAAACCTTGGGACACATATCAGACAGAACACGGGCTGTGGGTTTGTTCTGGATGAGTCCACACAGTCAGAGAAACCTGCGTCACATCGTGTACATGCTGTTCAGTGAAGCTGAGGAGGGCCTGAATCGATGTAAACTAGGAATCTAAGTCTTCTTAACAGGCCTTTTGTTTGGTGGAGTGAAGTTCAGAGGTGTGATGAGCTGCTGTCCAGACGTCTGAAACTCAGCCAAGCCCAGTACGTTCCTGATATTGAAGCTCAGGGGCTGAGCAGGAGACAACAGTCCCACCTGATCGCTGAACCTTCAGTCCACATATTTTTAGCATCATTAAGCTAAATCAGCTTCTGGCCGTTCTACTGGTACAGCGATGCTCACAAAGAAAAAGCTCCTCTGTTAGAGCTGTCCAAACTTTTCCTGGAAAGCACACACACAAAAAAAAGGGGGGAAATAGAAGAACAAATACAAACGGGGCTGATGGAACTTCATATTACACTCTCAGTTACCACCGAATAGAAAGCAGAGTTGAGGACTTGCTAACAGGATTCACCCTGAGATGGACATCAGAGCTGCAAGCAGTCATTCAATAGATTAGCAGACTGACAGGAAATCAATTAGGGTCAGAAACTATTTGATGATGTGCCATTTTCAGTTAGTTTTTTGTTTTGTCATGAAAAAAAAAAAACACCTTCTTTGGAATATTTTCCCTTTTCCTGAGTGTATAATGATTTAACAGTCCAAAGCCATCATGGCGGCACGAGGAACCCGGTGAGGGGACACTGAAGTCGACGGAGTTTAGGTTCTCAGGACAATGAGTGTCTGTAAATAACGCCAGAGCAATTTCTTTAGTAGTTGTTGAGATACTTCAACTGGCGACCTGTCCAGGGTGTCCCCTGTCTTCGCCCTAAGTCAGCTGGGATAGACTCCAGCCCCCCACGACCCTAGTGAGGATTGAGCGGTGTGTGGATGATGGATGGATGGATGGAGATACTTCAGTCTGGATCAAAGTGACTTACTGACGGACAGACCGACACCGCCGTCTGACACAAATTCTGAGAACCCAAAGAGACTTCCTCATGTTGCTCGTTTTGTCCAAACAGCAGATATATTCCATTTAGGGTTAGATGATTCCTCACATTTGAGAATGTGGAGCAAGCATATATTCTGCATTTCTGCTCCAACCAGAGACTAATGGATGTATTTGACCTGTTTCCGTGGTTTCCTCACCTGTGGTTGATGCAGCTTCCACAACCGGAGCCTCCCCGGTTCCCACCTCAGTCTCCACCTCTTCAGAAGGCGGTTTTGGTCCAGGACTGATTTTCAGCTCCCACAACTTTTGTTTGACCTCTGAGGTGGTGGCCGGCGGCAGAGACAGAGGAGCGACTTTGTTCCTGGTCAGCTTCGGCGTGGACCAGCCGCTGGAGTCGGAGCCGCTGTCCCATCCCTCCCAGAACCAGGGCTTGTGGGAATGTTCCATCACCCGCCGGGTCAGGCGGTACTTCAGAGAGTCCTCGTAGCATTTAGAAAACGTCTCCCATTTGGGATCCCTGAATTTCTTCATGTATTCTGTCCTGACTTTCTTGGTCACCATGGTTCTTGTTATTGCTTCTGATTGGTCCTGATCACTGAAGAAACCACAAAAAAAAAGGAAAAAAAAAGGTGTTAAATACTGATATTTCAAAACATTTAAAATAAATAACAAATCCTTGGGTTCTCTGGTCAAATCATTATGTGTTGTTTCAGAAGAGCAACATGGCCAAATGCCAAATCAATAATCTACAAACCAACGAGTGATGTCACGGTTGGTACGTCCATCTTTAAAATCAGTGCATGGATAACAGTTACTCAGGAAAACTATAAAGGTTCTTCTCCTCCACTAACTTCAGAGGAGAGCAGCACAAATAAGAAAAAGTACTTTATTTGCCTAAAGACAACGTCTACAACAAATAAAGCACAAATAAACATGAACGTGCTGTTTCTAAACATTAAAAAAATAATATGTGACTCCTGAGATGTGAGCTGAAAACTGACACATGAAGACAGAAACATCAGCCACAGAAGACGCTGCAGCTGCAGCCAGTGGGCAGCTTCATTTCAGAGGCCCAACATTCAGATGAGAAGATTACATCTGAGCCAAAGGTCAGCATCTGTACGGCTAACAGCACAGTAAGATTACACTTAGACTTGGAGAGGCTCGTGGGGAGCTGGTAATGAATCAGGACAGACAGCAGTTTGCATCATAAAAACAGCAACGAGTCCAACAAAATACAGAAATATTACTGATTGCATGCGACTATTTTTCACATTCTGACATATAAAACTAAAAGTGATGCAGTGAGCTGCTGAACCACAAGTCAAAGCAATGTCATGATGTTCACTACATTTTTATTTATTATTACTTTTGTCAATTTCAGCTTATTTCAGCAACAGATGTTTCTTTCCCCGTCTTTAATGGGAGGGTATGAATGCATTGGAGGACGACTGTACATCTAAGACGTTATTGTGTAGAAGTACTTTACAATTTACAATTTCATTTAGCAGATGCTTTCATCCAAAGCGATGTACATCTGAGAGTAGATCACATTCATACACCAGAGGCAAGGTGCTGCCTGCCAGTGGGAGCAACTTCAGGTTCAGTGTCTTGCCCAAGGACACTTTGACTGTGGAGGGCCGGGGGATCGAACCGCCAACCTTGCGATTAGAGGACAACCTGCTCCACCACCTGAGCCACAGCCGCAATGACTAAAGTGTTTTTGGTCAATTGACACTTTTGTCAATTTCAACTTATTTCAGTCACAGCTGTTTTCTTTGATGGGAGGCTATGAATACATTGGAGGACGGCTGTAGCTGCTCGTGGTTCCCAGATTGCAGACTAACCAGTGGGAAGCTGCATTCAGTGAGTGTGCACCACAGATCTGGGACAAGAGAGGATGTCACACCTGCTCACGTCAAAGGTTACACATTTAGAACATATTTAGAAGCAACATGCTCCTACTGGTATGTGCAGAATGATTCGGCCCCTGCCTCTCTATCCA